AAGTGAAATGACAGAATAGAAATTTAAAATCTATACCCGGGTTACACTCCTCAGACTGATGAAGCCCTCTGGATAGAGGTTGAAACATCTTTCCACAAAAAATTTAACTGTCCAAATGACCTGATTGACCATTGGATTAAAAAAACAAAGTTTTTCCATACTTCCAATCAATTTATCTCGGGGCCTATACCTTTTTTTAGCTGGGGGGGGGGGGGGGGGGGGGGGGTGGTGTCTGAACTCACACATACTCGAGTTCCCACTGTTGTGTTTGTCAATATTTTGAAATGAACATTACCCAGATTGACCAACAAAGTCCACGCTCAATAATCCAGGTATACAATCCAACAATTTTCAGTCAGGTAAAAAAAAAAAAGAAACTGTCCAGATGACCTGACTGAAAATTCTTGGATTATATACCTGGATTATTGAGCATGGACTTTGTTGGTTTTGAACCAGTTTGACATGACTGTCGACGAGGGAGAGGGCCGGCACCGGAGGAGGGGGCATGCCAAAGACACCATCTCAGCACCAACATAACTGGTTTGTTCCACTTTGGAGTAAGCTGTTGGAGGAAGAATCAATTTTGTGTTGTGTTTCCTTGACTGATGAAGTCTTATGGATGGCAGGTGAAACGTTTCAGCACAAAAAAAAGCAACTGTCCAGATGATCTGACTGAAAATTGTTGGATTAACCGGTTTGATTAGTGAAAATTGAAAAACGATTCAGAATCTTTTCGCAATGCGATGCTTCTAAATCTGCTCTAATGTATTTCACCCCTCACCTCGAGCGTTTTGTCTGTTCAAAATGTTTCAGTTAATAAAAAACAAACTGACTTTGCAATATTTAATCACATCATTACATCTCATTCTTAGGTTTTCTATCTAGTGAAGGCTTTAACATCTATAATTTTAACAGCCTTCCAACTGAAGCCCAGCTGTAAATGATGAAACAAGGGAATTGTCAAAACATCCTTCTCTATTACTCTCCTTCGTCAACGTGCCAAACTTGCTGACAAATGATTCCTTGTATTTCTCACTAATGGCCTCTGGAACTGACAGTGTCTGGCTGGTGGATGCTCCCTTCAGGAGCCTCGTGTCGAGCTCAGCCAGAAGGAGAGCAGTAATTACTGTTCCTCTGAAGCTCCCGCAGTTTTCATCCTTGACTATTTTTAATTGTGTTCTGGTTAGCTCATGCACAACAGATGTGCCTTTTATCAGAGCTGTACCTTATGCTGCAAAAAGAGTTGATGCTGTTCTTGTTCAAAACAAATCGGCTGGTGTCAGCTTTTATTCTTAAACAGTAAGAAATTACTAAGACTAAGGAATTGATCGTTTTCACCATGCTGTGATTTTACACAGCTCTGGTTTAGTAAAGACTTAATGGCGAAGCGATTATCATTTTCATAAAAAGCTGCATTTGATCTCTTGTACACCTTTTTTTAATATTACCCACATAAATACTCACAAGGAGTCACATTAGGGGCAGTGAGGTCTTTAAAGACTTACTGACACTTTGTCATACAGAGAATTTGCTCTTTGACTTAAACCACCACTAACTGCCTGTCGGTGCTTTAAAAGTACAAAAAAGGTCCAATACATGGCTTAAGCTAGAGGACGGCTTTTTGCAGATTGGATCGCTGGAAATAAAAGCATCACTTCAGTAGACTGAAAAGGAGATTATAATTGTCTTCAGATTAAATCAAAGCTGGACGTTCTCTGCCAAGGTGTAATAGGTGGAGCAAATAAGTCCTACAGCATGTGTTTATGATGTAATTGATGATGTGTTTAGGTGCCTGTTAAAAATTAAATACATTAAAAAGTAGATGTTTTTAAATGCAATATTATGTTTTAGTCTTGCTGTACAATGTTCCTTGTAATAGTAGTAATAATAAAAATTTTACAATAAATAAAGAAACCGTAGTAAGAAGAGATGGCATGATTGGGAGGTGTGGTAATGACCAGAAATTAAGGGCAGGTGTGCGGACAATACAGGTAGAAGTAAAGAAAGGAAGAGTTAACACAAAACAACAGGGCAGACGATTTATGCAAAGAATTAAAACACGACAGGAGAGAAGAACACTAACTCCTAAAACAACAAACTCCACAGATCACGGCAGGTTGCTTCAAACAGGGTTTTTTTTTTATTAATTAAGTAATCAACATTCTTTTAACAACGCCACCGTTTTGGATGACTTCAGATTTAAAAGGTCACCACCTGAAGATTTTACACCTCCACCGAGTTATCTTGACACATTCTGGCTGCTCCTCCTTCAGGGGTCACCACAGCGAACTAACTCACACGAAGACTTGGCAATTGTTTTTACACCGGATGTCCTTCCTGATGCAACCACAGACCACCGAGCTACCGACCTCAAATTAGTACCTGATTTATTTGAGTTTGGGAAATTGCAGCAACTGAAATAGCATGTCTTGGTTTTTGTTTGTACTATTATTTTATTGGTATTTTACTGCCAATTTTTATTATACTTTTATTTTATTAAGCTCAATGTTGTTTATTTTATCATATTTTTTATTTATGATGTTCTAATTATTATGAAGCACTTTGGTCAGCTGTGGTTGTTGTAAATGTGCTATATAAATAACCGCTGACTTGACTTGACTACCACAGTCTTCTGTGTGGAGCAGAGAGCTGCCCAGGGGAGCAGATGGTGGGGGTTAAGGGCCTTGCTCAAGGGCCCAGATTGGGGCAAATGAGGGTGGAGGCAGATGTGGGTGGTTCACCTTTCCCACCACATTTTGATGTTGTCCATCCAGGGAGTTGAACCGGTGACCTTCCCATCACAGGCCCACCTTCTTTAACCTCTGCACCACCACTCCCCTATTTGTTTAAATAAATGAAAATTTAAATAAAATGATATCTGCTGGGATGTCCAGGGTGTATTCTGCCTCTCTACCAATGACCGCTGGAGATTTACACCAGCTCTCACTGACCCTAAACAGCAACAAGCAGGGAGAGAAGATGGATGATAGATGGATGATAGATGGATGGATACGTTTGATGTTTTTTGTAAAATACTGCAGGTAAAGAGTAGAAAACAAGCCTACTGTTTTTAGTTGTACGTATTTTTAAAAAATGTAAAACTACAGTCAGAATCAAGCTTTGTAAGCTCAATCATCCATAACAACAAAAAGGTTAAACTGTGTCATCTGGACCAGTTTATTTAAATGAGAAACGTTTAGTCTCCTGTCTGGAAGACTTCGTCAGTCTGCGATCCATCAGGCTGAGCTCAAAGTAACTATACTTAAAGACTGATCAGGAAATGAGATTCATAACAACTATTTTATTTCACTCAAACAAGCATGACTTATAGAAAAGTGTGCATAGAGCTTTTCATACCTGTAAAATGCCAGGCTAAATTCAGGACAGCTATTTTCTACAGTTTTCTAGATGATTGGCTTAGAGCTAACAATTCCTTGACACTGTGTGGGAAAAATGATTAGTTTAATTTGTTTGTTTGTTTTTGCACAGGTTCTGTAAGACATGCTGAGCATGTCTGAGTAATGGAACTGAACATTGTTGATAACAGGCTGACATTGTCCTTCTTTGTTTCTTACCTTTAGGGTGTTGGACTCGGAGCTGACAAAGCCACCTGTCAGATTGCCTTCTCCAAACGGTGGCTGTTCTGGTCTGTGACCCGGCTCTGAGCAACTAGACTTGGAGGAACCCATTCGAATGAGAAGCAGCCCAAGCAAAAACCCCAGTGCCAATCCCAGAGCAAGGCCAGAGATGTATGGACTAAGAGGTAGGATGAAGTAACCGTAGGACAGCACAGCCACGAAGAATAAACTCATTTGAGGAAGAGGATGAGAGGACGAAGTGGCAGAACTCTTATCTAGGGATGCTACAGCTTGAGAACCAAGTGCGGTCCTTTTTTGTCCAAGTGTCTCGACAGAGACCACCTGCATCATATCACCATCTGTACATATTTCTAGCTCTTCTTCTCTGTGACGCTGCCTGTGAGGATGCACAGGGCACGGGCTTCGATGAAACCTTGTGAAGTGTCTTACTGAAGGCCACTCAAAGACAGGAAAATGATCCCCATCCACTTTTCTTGAACTTCTCACAGGAGACTCTGAAAGAACTGTGTCTGTGCTGCCTTCCCTTCTAATGCTTTGGCAGCTGCTCTGGTGAGCCACCTGTGGCTTACTGTGGTGTTTGGGACTACCCCCACTGTCTTCTTTCATGATCTTACTGAACATGCTGCTTAGAGGCTCGTGCATGGCCTCCGAGAGCTTCCTTCTGGTGTCTTCCAACTCTGTTTTAAAGAAGCCTCCTTTCAGGCCCTCTTTGCAAGGGGAGATTGAACTAGGAGACGGTGGAGCAGTACGAGAATCGCCACTGCTCCGGGTCTTTGTTTGGGTCAGCTGCTTCCACAGGTGAAGGTTGAGACCAGAGTCAGATTTGGACTGAGACACTTCTGGTTCTGAGCGGGAGAGCTCTGTGGAGATGGACTTCACAAGGCTGAGGAAAGGTTTGGGTCTGAGAGTAGAGCTCTCTTTCAGCTCAAGTTCTGTGGAGAGGGACTTGACCAAGTTCGACAGTGGCCGGGGGCTGGTTGAGGACAAGCTGGGGGAGAGGAAGCTGGGACCCGTGGTGGAGACGTTCCCCAGAGAATCAGTAGATGGAGAAAGAGGAACATGGTAATTGTGGGATTTTAATCCTTTGTCATCTTCACTATAAAGCTGTCTTTCCTTACAGAGTGATACAGGTGGGTAGTCTTCATCGTGATCAAGGGACAAAATGAGCTCGTTGTCATATGGGCTGTCCCACTCCCCCTCTGTCCCAGTCAGCTGGATCACAATCCCTCGAGAGAGGTTTCTCTTTGTGCCCATTGGGGAGAGGCCATGAGGCTCCTTTGTAGATCCACTATACCCTCTTTCTCCATCCTCACTTCCTCTTCCCCTATTTATCCCACTGTCCGCCATTTCTTGACTTCACATCTTGGAGCCAAGGCACCCGTATGTCACTACACACACACACACACAAAAAAGAGCAAGTTCAGCCACATTTTTAAAGCTCAGGGACCGAACTATTAAAAGCAAAGAAAGAAAGAGAGCTCCTTTTCTTTGAATAAGCTTCATTTTCACACAAATGCTTACTGATGCCAACTGTGAAGTTGTGCTACTGCTGTATATGTCAGCTGTGAAGGACTGTGAATTCAAGACAAGTGCTTCTCCCATAGCTGCTGCTCTACATAGTGAAGGGTTTAAAAGGCATGCAACAATAGACAAGGCAGACTTTTTTCTGAAAAACTATGCGGACAGCTAGGACTTACGTCTCGTCTTTTGTCACACCAATTTAGAAGCTTTATAAAATGTAGGACCAACATTCATGAACATCTGTACTTCACATTTAGGACATGAAAAGTATTTTCCTCAAAATTGATAATTCTTATATTAAAAATATACATTATTACTACTGTTTGAAGTAAGTCTGAGCATGACGGAAGATAGCAAAAGGCAGATCCTCATCCCTTAAAGAGCTTTCTGTCAGCTGTGAAAACACAGAGTCACAATATTTTCTCTGATGTCTGCCTAAAGAGGCACAAATGTAATCCTGAGATGAATAGAAAGAGCCAGCCTGTCATTCTTTCTGTGTAGCTTTCCCATCTCAGGAGCATTGCATGTTTCACTATTACGCACAGCCTCTTAGTATTAAACTGTCTATTCAGGGGTGCCCAAAGTGGGGCCCGCGGGCGAAAGTTGGCCCGCCAAGCTGTTTGGTTTGGCCCGCCAAGCTGTTTGGTTTGGCCCGCCAAGCTGTCCTCATTACTACAGTATATTAAAATTTCCTTTGAAGTATCATTGTGTTTACACCAAGTTCAATGTTAGATAGAAAGGTGGCCCAATGACTACTGTAATGGCACTACACAGCTGGAGTGGCTAATTTGTGTATTAATTTTTTTAAATGTAATAATTATATTATCTTGATAGACTTTGTACTGTCTCTTGGGAGTTTCTTGCCACTGAATAACATTTCCTTTGACAAAGCTGGGAAACATATAGCTAACTGCCCAGTACCCACTCCTCTTCAGGGCAGATTTTTGTGACACACAGAATGAATGCCTCAGGTAATCACATGTACCAAACCTCTCCCTAAGGGTTTAAATTTTCCTACCATAACTCCACCCACTCTGTCATCATGTGACCAGAAGTCTAACTGAAATAACCAATGAGGGATACTCTCAAGGATCCATTCCCCACGTGAATTAATTCCTTCCTTATAGTTACTGTATTTTGCGCCTCATGCACAGACCTGTTCATCTGCAGCGATTGAACGAATAAAACCTATGTTGGACATGTAAACTGAAAATAATTACATAAACACTCATTTTGAGCTTCATGATCACATCACAGCTGTTGATTCGCATTTCCGCTTCTACTCTTAAAAACATCTCTGTCCCTAAAAGTTCAAAGTCATGGGCAATTTGAATAAAAAACACAAAAATATGCTTCAACGTTTTGCACTATGCGCATAAGTTCCTGTGCGTTTGTGAACAATTTGATGTGTGAATCGCTGCAGGAGTTATCTGAACTGCATAAAAGAGATGAAGATCTCGCCTCAAAAAGATCTTTGTCTGCAGTCAGAGTGTTGGACGGCATGTTGAAGCGACCAGGATGCTTTACTGAATTGGGCAAAAGGATTGAGAGCAACTCTTTTCTAAGCCACGCAGTGACAAAACGATAAATATTAGGCAGTTTTTTTATAAATGTGGTAAAAAACTTAGAGCAGCGCTTGTTGTCCCATGGTACGGAGCAGGGAGGAGGACGACGAGGTGCACTTATGCTGTTTATATACTAAACAACTAAGGTAAGAAATGATCCTGCACTATTACACTTATAAATCGCACATAAAGTGTTTAAAAATAGCCTAAATTATAAATATGAACTGGCTTCAGTGGTGATTTTACTCTCTTTTAGAGGGTGCTCAAGCACCCCTAAATTTTAACTCAGCATCTCTGAAAAATAAATAAACCATCATTAAGATTTTGTAAGAAAACAGTTCTCAAACCTTAGATTCACCAAAATATTGAATAAATATTGATTAAATATTGAATAAATATGGAATAAATGACAACAGTCTCAAACGGGCCAGTAAAATATTTTTTTTTTGCACGAGGCCTGCCACCTGTCAATCAATCCAGCAAGCACGTCAGCAACTGACCAATCAGCAACCTTGATTGGTCCTGAAGTGAACGCCCCTTACCTGCAGAGCTGCAGCATTGCAGTCATAGATTCCATAATAACAGAGTTTACATCTTTTGTTTCATGTTGATCTACTGTAATAAACTTTTGTAAAACACACCAGAATGCAGGAAATGGCATCTACTTTATTCAAAATCCCCACCACCACCACCACCAACGCAGCCTGTTCTATAATGTTCTTTATACAGAATGGAAGGTTAAATAACTGTATAATAAATAAATGGACTTTACTTAAAGAAGTATTTGCATTTTATATATTATTCCATTTGGCCCGCAGCCCTCTGAAAGACTTTAAATTTGGCTCTTTCAGGGAAAAAGTCTAGGCACCCCTGGTTTATATGCTACGAACTCAATGTCAGGATTCATGTGTTTTGTGGGTTTTTAGTTGTGATTATAATATTTAGTCTTCTCTGTGAATTTGTGTTACTTGTGTTTTCAGCTTTTCCAGTGTTTTAGCCCCCTCATGTATTTCTGCTCATGCTCCTCCTGCTGTCACCTGTTCCTCATGGTCTCCCCCAGGTGTTTGTCATTGTCTGTCATTAGTGTCTAAGTTCAGCATCATTGTGTTTCTTCTCTGTCCATGGATTGTGCTTTCCACAACCTCTGTTCCTCCGTGTCTCCTCGTGTAAATCATTTTCAGTAAATTTTGCTGCCACGCCAGCCTTTGTTTGTGTTTTTATTTAATAAATATGTTTCTTTATTTTTACCCTCAAGCTCTCTGTGTCTGTCTGCACCTGGGTTCAGTGCCTCAGAACATGACACCCACCACAGAGCAGAGCTGTCATAAGCTCATTTGTATCACCAGAAACAAGCTGGACACCAACACAAACTCTCCTGTGGAACGTGTTTTTAGGTCCCCTCGATATGCCGGTTAAACCGTACGAGCGACTCTTTAGATTTATGTAGCAGTGTTGAAGCATTCTGTGGCACAATTTCAAGCAACTCCAAAGCAGCTGCATGGTAGAGCCAATTTTAATCTGCTTCTAACCCAAAGTCAGCGGTGAAGAGATGAACCTTTATGGATGAACCTCACTGGACTATGGGCGTAGACGACTTGGCGATGATACACTCAGTACTTTTGATGCAATATTTGGGTCAAACGTTGCCAGATGTTTACATGAAAAAGTCCTGCAAATAGTTTATGCGAAGGTAAAATATTATTTATTGATCTGCTTCCTGATACTGTTTTTACTATATTAATAAGCTTTATAATCCTTTTATTACTTGGTTAGGGTGTCAAACTCAATTACAAAAGTGGGCCAAAATTAAAACCTTTTTCAAACTAAGGGCCAATTTCAGAATCTACATTAGCTCAAATCAGACACCAAACATATTTTCTTGGTCACAGGTTCCTCAATAAGAGTTTGGTTGGTCTCATTTGACGTTCTCTGTTGTGCTTTTGACATCATAATCAAAGATTACTGAAAAAATTCAAGAGATAGAAGTATTTACGTTTCACATATCATCTTGGGGGCCAGATAAGATGTCAACGAGGTTCACATTTGACCCCCGGGCCTTGAGTTTGACACATATGGGTTAGACACTTATCAAACAAGCAAGAAGAAAAATGGTGATGACTGTAGCACATAAAGGTTGTAGTTTTTGCATTTACTTTTTTTTTTACTTCAAGGTAAAGACATGTTTACGATTATTTTGTTCTCGGGTCACAGGTTCTTAATTAGCACTGTGATATATATATATATATATATATATATATATATATATATATATATATA